GATGGCTAGATTTAACAATAGCTAAATGCTGGTGTTTCTGAGGGGAATAGAGCCTATTTATTTTTAAAGGTTTGGGGTTTTTTTTAAGGGTTTACACTTGTGCTGGAGTGATTTTTCAAGCAGTGCATACAAGCTTAAAATGTGCAATATTAAAGGTTAATATCTACAGTAAGAAGCCCCATCAGATATCTCTGACTGAGAATTTCTTGTTTAGCCACGAGAAAGGAGAAGTCTCACCTCTGTCAGGATACTTCACCCAAAAGGCTAAGGAAAATGAAGGTTCCAAATTCCAGGAATTTGCAAATTCCACTGATTTTCCTCTCGCTCGGGCCAATTCATCCCACACAAGAAGGTGCTGAGCTTTTCTTGGTGCAGAGCACACCACCAGCAGACATCCTTCACAGTGACCATGTCAGCACAGCTGAAAACATAACACCTTTTCAGCCTCCTAAATTCCCTCCTGAGTTAGAGACACTGCTTCTTGCCAAACTGGGAGCATGATCACCTCTCACTGAGTTGAACTTCTGTCACACACTGCATAAATAGCTCAGCTACCATAGTTGGCCAGCCCTGCAGGGAACACAGAGCTGGACCCTGCCCTCAAATAAAGGCCTGGAGCTTCTTCTCCTCAGCAAGGCTAGAGCTACAAAGACATCAGGTGTCTCCTGGCATAAGATCTCCTGGCATAAGATCACATTAGATGAAGCCTTGTCAACCTGCTCTGGTGGGAGGTGTCCCTACCCAGGGCAGGGGGTTGGGAATAGATGATCTATAAACTCCATTCCAGCCCCTAAAATTCTATGGTTCTGGACTGATGGACCTTGGCTTATTTTTACCTTTTCTCAGAAAGGAAGGCATAAACATCAGAGGTGTATGACATCCACCACTGCAGTAGTGACTATCCTTTGGGCCATGTGGAAGGAAACCAGGGAACACAAAGGTGTTGGCAGACGTTTTCTTTGCAGTCTTTCTCTAAGTGGTTCAGAAGCTTCTCTGTCTGTGCCACAAGTGCTTTGAGTGGGGTCCAAACACTTGCCTTCTAAAAGGCATCTCCATCTCCACTTCCTCCCCTGGCCATAGTCTTTATGGTCCTTCTGTTAAGGTTCTCTGTGTATGTGCAGGTTGTGATGGGCTATCAGAGACAAAAACACCATCCCAGAACCCAGAGTGGCCTCTCCTCTGTGTGCTGACTCCTCTCTCAGCCTCCCAGAAGCTCACACAGCATTTATTGCCCCTTATAAAGACAAATCTTGTCTTGGGCTGTTGTTGTCTTCGAAGAATATAACCAAGTGCCTGTTTTGTTTACTCTTGACAGGCACTGAAGTTAACCAGGCAGCCCAAAGCACCCGTGAAGGTCTAATTGTGGAGATGACCTGTGTCACAGTGAATGTATATATGTACTATACTGTACACATGGACAATTGAGACAACTGGGTATTTGTGAATGTTGCTTCAGTGCATATTTTATATATATATATTAAAAGATACCTGTTAAGTGCCTTACAGATGCATTTTTGGCAAAAAAAAAAGAAGCATCGTTTCCAGAAGCCACTTTGTTGGTTACTGCAAGAGGTTGTACAGTATTTTGGAGTCCTTTAGTTTTTTATTTTTCTAACTGAGTGAATGGTCATGACTGACAGCTGTTTCTTCCACTGCCCCTGCTTTGAAGCCAGGGTGCACCAGCTGTAAGTCTCTGTTTTAAACTAGCCAAAATGACCAGAAGCTACCCCACTGCTGGCTTACCCTGGGGAAGAGCTTTCTGAAGGGTTTTTATTTTTTTTTTTCTGAGATTGACTTGAATTTCTGTGTGACTCTGTTACACTCCCTAGTCATATGACTGTGACATGCCTTTTTCTTCTGAGTTTGTGTATACTCAGCATGGGGCCATCCATTGGATAGAAGCTGAGGAGCATGAATTATTTGCATTTGTTGACACAGTTGTCTAGACATTCCTTCAAAGTTAATGGTTTCTCAAGAAAATTCTTTCAATTCCATTGTATGATATTGTGCCATTGTATATCTTAAATGCCTCATAAGCTTCTTCAAAGAAATGGTCTGGTGCTTGGGTTGTGAGTGAAGTATTTGTGTTTGCAGCTAGGAGAGCTTTTTATAATTTACCCCTGATGAACACAAATTTTTGGTTTTCCTTTTTTTTTTCCTTTTCCTTCCCCTGGTGCAATGCACAGAGACCTGCAGTGACAGAATTTAGGATGCTAATATTGAAACAGAGCCTTTATTGTAGTAAGCCAAGCTATGTTTTCTATATTGCTGCATTGGTAATGAAGAATAGCTCGTGAGGACAAGAAAGTTGACAGTTATTTTTCTTTGCCAATTAAAAGGATCCTTACAAAAACAGAAATGTTACCTTAGCTAATTTTGACAATCAGCCACAACTTTTGAAAGAATAGTATTAGCCTTTTTAATAAACTTATATAAAAAAAAGGAATGCAAAGTACTATTTCTGAGCGAGGTGTTGAAGGGAAAGCGATGCAGGCAGATACTGAAATGTACAGCCAGCACTGCAGCTTGTCTGTGAGATCAGCATTTCAGAAATGTGCTCCAGTCCAGGCTGGGAGGTGTCCCCACCTGCAAAACCTCTGCTGGCAATTGTGCATTGAAATACTAAAAGGAGTATAAGAAATAGGTCAAACTGGGATCGATACAAATGCAAGATTTCCTGTGTGTCCTGGTTAACATTGCAGCTAATGGTGTGACCCAGTGCAAACACCTAAGAGCAGATCTTTAGCAAATGTAAATTATCCTAGCCCTGATAAGGTTATAGCTGTTCACACAAGCTGAAGATCTTTTGTGTTACAACAGTTATTTGAGATTCATAGCCTTTTGCCTTAGTGAAAAAGAAGTGTTTGGTTTACCTGGTCTGTTGCTTCTGGTCTGTTATTCCTGTGACCAGCAGGAAAGTAATCTGGTCCCAATGGTTGGTGCTTTACCTGATGGTCAGTCTGTTGCCCTCTGTGAGACCTGTGGGGAGCTGACAGCATCTCCTTGCTCAGAATTGTCATCACCAACAAAATGACCATGTAGTGAAGGTACCTGAGGTGGCAACACGCTGAGTTCTTGCATTTCCTGGAGGGGGATGACATTCTCCCCACTGAACAGGCTGAGGGACACTGTCTGACCCATGTCCCCCAGGGCTGTGCTCTCTTCTCACTGACCAGTAATACAAAGGGCAGTGGGCAGTGGGCTCATGGTTTTGATCCCTGCATCCCTAGGTAGCACAGGCAGAACCACAAACAGACCAACCTTTAAGAACTGGAGAGAATAGCTTGCATGTTCTTGGGCCAAATTCAAGGTTCCCCTTCCTGAACCATGTAAGTGGTAACTGGCTCTGTGTGGGGAAAAATCCTTCTGAGTTTAAATGCTTGCAGCAGGGGACTGACTGCTCCCAGACTCAGAACAGTTTCTTTTTGTTCTGTTGCCACAAACCTGAATTTCCAGAGTGTGTAAAGGCTTAATCCCAATCCCACTGAAATCAACAACTCTTTCTGTTGGTTGTGAATGGCAAAGCAACAGGCCCAGAAAGAG